ACTAACTTTTATAAAATGTGACCACTTGTTAATGTAGCTTAGCCAAGTAAATCATATCAGGTGCAAATATCTTTAATTAATAATCTAAAATAAACAAATTTATAGCAATTAATTGTATTTATAAATTATACAAAAATGTTAAATCTAAAGTTGCGTGATAAGCGGTGATGCAAATTCAATAAGTATGCACAGCAGTTATGCAGTTGAGATGCTAGCATGAATGACTTACATTGCATAAATGGGAATTTATGGAACCAGACATTATAGATAAAGTAATAATATTTGTCTAGTGGCCATATCCAGATCACACAATATTCTCAACTGCTTTTGGCAGTTTAATTTTAAATTTCTCAAGCTATAGAGCTTCCAGCACTTCTGGTAGATTATCCCAGTCTCATAGATATCACTGTCTTAAAGTTTTTCCTGTTATTTAACCTATTTTTCCTTTTTCAAATTTCATCACATTAACTCCTTGATTAAAAAAAATCCTTTTCCAATTTGGTGTCTCTTATCAATCTTGGTCCTGCTAGTGAAGGCAGGGGGCTGGACTTGATGACCTTTCAAGGTCCCTTCCAGTTCTAGGAGATAGGATATCTCCATTAATTTAATTATTATTTATAATCCCTCCCTCTTCACATAACCCGAACAGAACTTGCATCAGATCAAACTGTCAGCAGGAGCTCATTCAGTGTTCTCCAAAAGAGAACTAACAACATATTAAAGGGACACCATCACATAATATAGCCCCAAGTTTTAGGTTTTGTGAAAAAGAAGATTTTACAAAACTGAGTGTTTTTTGTTAATTAAAGAAAAGAGCTACCAAAAACTTTGTTTAATGAGATTTAAACATTCTCCTGCAGTGTCTGGATGCCAGATATACAAGCATTGTATTAGGATATGCGAAAGGGACTGGGGCATAGACAGTCTTGCCTCATGGTCAAGGATGGTAGTTAGCAGGAGTCAGAGGAATCGCTAGAGCCAGGTTCAGTAAGGAGGAGTAAGGGTCAGGCTGGAAATCAGAGGTAGTACGAGGCTAGTATCAGGAGGCCAGAATCAGACTGGAATCAGAGATCAGGAGATGAGGTGAAGTCTGGAGTCACAGCAAGCCCAAAGTCTGTGCGGATGCCCACACAACTTTCTGGTGCACCCTCCAGGGTCAAATAGAATGCTTGGCCATCAGAGGGCCATATGGTACTGTCACTCTGGATTACTTGTGGTACTCCCTGTGGTGCTTGCTCCCCTGCGTGTTGTTTTTGATGGGCTCTCAGTGGCACTGTGGGCATGTCAGCTAAATTCAGGCCCCAGCTCTGTAGTACTGGGTTCTAGTCCACAGATCCTTACAGGACGAGAGGCACAATGTGAGATTGATTAGTCTGTTTTCAGTGTCCAAACTTGTTTACAATAAATATAACAAGTAGTCATAGTTTTGTGGAAGAATTTAATTTTAAGTTTAAAAAACAAACAAACAAACAAAAAAACTTCCTGTGTAATTCCAGTTTCTCATTTCTGGCCAGTGTTAAGGTTCCATATGTAAGGCCTGTCAGGTAAAGGAGACTGTTAAAATGCTCAGTTGATTTTAACACATAAATTGTGCTCTGTCTTTGCTCTGTCCTGTTGCCCATTGAGTCCTTTGAATCATTCATTAGGGAACTGCACATTCCTCTGCTCAGTTGTCTCCTTTATAATATAGCTACTGAATTACCAGTTTCACATGCTGCAGATATGGGCCATAGCTATAATCTACTCAGATTTATCCCTCTTTACTTTGTGCACCTGGCAAGATCAGAGCCTGAGATGTTATGAATGTTCTGTAACTTACTAAACATAGTCACCACAACTACAGATCATCAGGAATTTTTTATGAAACTTTTTTTCATCAGAAAATGCTAGTTCATGCAACCAAAACATTTTGCAGGAAAAGTTCATTTTCAATTAATTTCTCCTTTTAAAGTACTACTTGCAAAAATAATTAGAAATTAAAAATTGTCATAACTTTCCAATTAGGCATTTTTAAATGAAAAATTCTGGTTTTGTTTGAAAAAAAATTATTTAAAAATTAAGTTAATTTATAATATTTTTAAAGTAAAAGTTGAAACAATGTTTTGAAATTATTGACACATCATGTTTCAATTGACCAGAACTTTTTGTTTGTTTGTTTTTTTAATTTTGGTTCATGAACATTTTGGCAATTTTTGACATTTCATCCTAATTCATAACTGGAAAAAATTTGAAATCTTGAAAATTATCACAGTTTTCCACTCAGCTCTAGCCCCAACCTATTTAATCAGGATTGTGTATATACATTGTGGTGCCCACTATGTTTAATAAGTTAACAAAGAGATCTTCAACCTCAGGCTGTGATGTTGTCAGATCTTGTCAGCTAATTAGGGTCATTCCAGATCTGTAACTGGATAGCCTGTTTAATAGATGGCACCCACCCCTCTAGTGATTAATTAAATATGCCTTATTTTTAGGGGACACGTTGTGGCAGAGCTAGTTCAGAAAATATTGCCAAATTCCTAGCTGCAGAGGACCTCCCCAAGTCATGGAGTCTCTACTAATATTTTTGTTGTGTTGACTGCTCATGTCCCAGTTCCACCTTGTGTAAAGAATGAGCTGCTTCTTGCTGATTTCAAGCTCAGTGGTGGAAATAACCCAGGCTTCCTTGTTAACTATTTCATAACTGATCATTTTAACAGAAACATGCCTACATCACAATCTCAAACTGCCTCCTATGCCTTCATAGGTGCCAAGAGATCCAACTGTCTCTGTCCATCTGTCCCCAGCCAACTTCTAGAATGTGGTAAAGCATTTTCAATACAAAACTGTGTAGCACATTGAAAATTATACATTTGGGGGCTGTGTACAGTTACATCAAATGAAACATCACAACAATACAGTATTGATTGGTGATCTTCAGTCTGATCATGGCTCAGGAATGTTGAAACCGTGTCAGCAGTTTTTCCCAACTCAATTATTGCCTATCAGACTGATGAAGAATATTAGATTAGTTCCTGGCAAAAAAGAAATTGAGGGTATAGGAAAGACTGTACAACTGGCTTTCTGTCTTTTTTAATATCAGATTTAACCCACCCATGTTCTTCATCTTACGTGCCAGGTCTTGCTTTTTCCTGCTACATCCCTTTCTACTCCATTGGTGTGCAAGTTACATTACTTTTGCACATGCACTGGATGCCAAATCATTGCAAGTTACAGTACTTTTGTGAGTCAAACCAGATGCCTAACTAATATCTCCATTTCATCACCACTTAATTTGTCTCAAAGACTTTCATGTGATTTTCATATAATTACAGTAGAGCCTTTGTCTACACTACAAAGGCTTTGTGGTATAGCTTTACCAGTGTAGCTATACTGGCATACACCCCTAGTGTAGTCGTACCTTATGTTGAGTGCCAACAGAAGGAGTTTTTCTGTCAGCACGGTTATACCACCTCTGTAAATGATAGTAGCTAGGCTGACTGAAGCACTCTTCTGTCGGCAAAGCTATGTCTACACTGGGGGTTTTATGGAGTAGCTAGGTGGCGTATGTTTTTTTTTTCCACATCTCTGACTGACATAGCTACGCCCACAAAACTTTGTAGGTTAGTCCTAGCCTAGGTTTGAGTTTGGTCAGAGGTGTTCAGCTATATTACAGGACATCTTTCCATACTTTGTAATTTAAGCTTAAGCTTAATGTCCAGCTATGAATTTTGTAGAGTTTGTTTATATTTTCCTTAATTTAGTTATTTTGCATTTAATAAGAGGTTTTCCTAATGTCTACTAAATCCAATAATTAGATGTTATGCATAAAAACTCTTCACTGTGTTTTTCTTCGGTACAACTTTGGGAGACTATTTCATTATCATGCATGGGAATAGATTCCCTCAGTCAAATTCATCACTGATGAAAGCCCACTAAATTCAGTGCTGTCACATCAGAAACAGACTTGGCAGGCAAAGGGTGATATAACTTCTAGAATCATATCATTACGTTTAATATTAAATACAATACAAGACATAGTTAATAATAGACAGGCAAGACACCACCTTCACAGGCTTCTGTGAGAACCCACCAGCAACAGACTGAGAAATATCCATTTGAAATAAATGCTTTCAAAGACACTCAGTAGAGTGAGAAGTATTTACCTCACAAACTTTCACAAAGGTGTAACGTGTAGGAGTGCTGGTAAGATACAGAACATTCCCTAGTTTTGTGATCTTTCATTTAGCTGGAATATAATTTAGTACACATACAGCTAGAATAGCTTTCATATTCACTTAGGCACTCAGTACAGTGATAGGTATAAGAATAGACATGGAACAGAATCTGTTTTCAAGATTTACTACACTTTTATTCTGAATCTGAAATTTTTGTTTGGGAAAAATATTGTGAAATATCTTAAAATAAAGCTGGCTTTTATTTGTATTGTGTGAGCTAACTGAATCCAGTCTAATAGCTTTTAAACTTGCAGTTTGAAAGAAGCTGTTTTGGGAATTATAGGAATGCCCATTACACTCTCCTAATTGTTGAAGATAATTGAAGAGAGGGATGGATGTATGTGTGTGTTTTATTTTATTTTATTTTATTATTTTGCTTCTGGTTTGGACCATTTATATTGCAGCAGGTTTTAGCCACAAGTAAATTTTACAGCCAAATTGTAAACTATCTTAAATATTATACAAATGTAACTAACTTAACTCTGCTCCTTTTGCTCAGTGCTGATTTGTGTCCACCCTCTAAAAGGCTCCTTAGGCAAGTCAAGCAAATGTTGTATCCAGCTGATAGAGCTAACAATAAACACTAAGGGCCTGATTCTCCTTTCATTTATGCCAATTTTATACTGATGTCACTCCACTGAGCTCAATGGATTTGCTCCTGATTTACAGTAATGTGAGAGAAGAATCAGACCCTTTACGTCTGATAGTATATCTCTTGATATGAAGGAATAGGCAAGAGCCAGGGCATATATAATTCATACATACAAAATTAAGGCTGTTGATAAACTATATTTGTAACACATCCTCTCTCCCAGATTGAATATTTTAAACTGAAAATGCAAGCTATCAAATAACGCACCCCAAAAACAAAACAAAACACAAAAAATAAAAAAACAGGGCTCCAAATCACATACAACTGAACCAACGTGTAAGCACTAAGAATAGCTCACATTACTCTTTGTAAATGTGTCATTGCTCCATTTATTTTCTCAACAACCATACCTACATTTTACAAGATATTAAACAGAGATGTGTGTGTTTATATAATATACAAGACAGTTTAATCTAACTCAGAGTAATACATGGATTCAGGCAATTTGTTATCATCAGTGTTGTGTTGCATTTTAGATTCCACATCTTGGACTGGAGAATGATACAAAACTTCTTTTTGGATACCTAGGGTTCAGCAGGGGCATAATTCCAAGACTCCTTGATATGATTTTTTACTTGTTCAGCAGATAGATTATATATTGAAGCCATGCCTAATCTTCTGATCTAGCTATATAGTAAAACTGCTTGAGAATTCAGCACTTACATTCTTTTCCTTTCAGAAAACTGCAAAATATATTTTGAACTATCCTTCAACTTCGGTCAAGTATGGACTGATATGCCACATGATTAATCCAAAGTAACTCATTCTGAAATGCAGCATTTTAAAGTTTAAAATTGTAATCACTTTCATTATACAGTTCATTTGTATTTTCCTTTTAGGACTTTGATAAGATGTACTTTACCTTCACATGTTTAAAACTATATAATAGCATAACCATATTGATAGGAGTTATACTTTACTGTCATCAAATTATAAAAGTAAGTACATATTTGCCCACATACCCTGTTTTCCTCCCTCCCCAATGTGCACAGGTGAATGAGCTGTCAGTAAGACCTTTCTATTGTTAGTCAAGTACATCAGATATAACAAACAATTTCTTCACTAAGCCCCCTTTTACTGTATGCTTACAACAGCAAATGACTGCTCACGTGTAGACCTACTATTCTGCCCAGACTCAGCCTGCATTAAAAGACTAACATAATCGTATTGCGAGAAAGCATTTAGAGAACTATAATCCAATGGTCTTCCTGAAAGACTTTTTATATAATGAAAATCTGTGAAGAGTGAATATGTTGATCAGAAGCATCGAAAACATTTAAACATTTCTGTATATATGATCATTCCTCAGTATAATTTTTTTTAAAAGGCTATAATCAATCTTTCAGGTTACAAATATGTGTTTTATTTTTAAATCCAAAAGCTCCTTTGATATCATGCAATTTGTTCAGTATTGTTACTTTGAATAATTTCATTCATATTAGAAAATATTTTACATAGTTCTGTATATTGAATGGTGAGACTTTAATTCTACCTCATATTCATGATGCCATGAGGTTCACATTGTGCTATCAGTTTAGAACATGAGCATTACCAATTTAATTACAGTCCAGTGTTCAGATAGTTTATGAACGAAGGCCCAGATCCTGCAGACTTACACATACGCTTAACTTTATGCATGGGGAAACGATCCCAGAATTAATCTTGTAAAGTTTAACAATTGCAACATTTCACAGAAACAGGTTATCTGCCACTGTTGTTATGAGAGCCACAGGTCCACATTTTGTGGTCCTTCAGTCGAGCAACACTTCTACTGCAGTCAATAGGACCTTTGCTTGACTCAAGACCACAGAATTTGGGTCTCAGACATGAGAGATGGAAAAGATTTATTATATCATCTAGGTGCAGACTCTAATGGTATTTAGGCTCCTTACTTCCACTGAAATCAATTAAACTAGAGTGGGCAAAGTATTCGTATATAATGTACTGCAGGAGACAATGCTGTAGTGATGGGGTTAGGGACTAGGGCACAGATCCACAAAGGTATTTAGGCTCCTAATTTTGGAGGTTAAATACCTTTGTGGATCTGAGCCCTAGTCCTTAACCCCATCAGTACAGCATTGTCTTCTGCAGTACATTATATGCTAGTACTTTGTCCACTCTAGTTTTATATGTCCTAAACAATGGGATTTCTGTCAAAGATGGTACATTAAAATTAGAATTTAAGATTCATATCTGTAGTCAGAAGGTACTTTTTTTTCTTTAATAGGAATGTAGAATTATGGTGTTTGTATCTGAGAGTTTGGTATATCAGTCAGATGATTTAGAATGAAATAGAATCATCTGGTTTATTGAGCTAATTGTCAATAGACATATTTTAAAGTGTTTTTTTTAAATTTAATTACTGCTGCAAGTGAACCAGATAGTTAACAGAACATACTTTATTTTAAATGGAAGAAATAATAGTGACAGTAACAAGTTTTACTGCAAGTATAGAAAATGTAATTCCACCATGCACAGGATGGAATGATGCAAGTAATTCAACTATAAGATTTTAATATTTCACAGACTCATACTAAAATGGATATGCAATATCGATTAAGACAAGTATTTTGAAATAAAACCTGATAGTTTGAAAAAAATGCACATTGCTTAATTTCTTTCTGAATACACAGAGTAACATTTGTGGTGCCTGGTTAGCAACATAGTCCAAATATTTTTATTTTTGTCACACACTGAACATGTACAATATTATAAAGCTTGATTTTAGTAATCTTTATTTACAAAAATATTCTTCCCAATCCCTTCAAACTGCAATTATAAATTTAATTCTTAGATTGAAAATTTGTAAACTGAACAGAATTTTCAGCAAAAAAGGATTAATTTGTTTCACAAGAAACCAAATTTCATTGTTTAATTCAGCTTTTTTTTAAAGGTATTAGATGGATAAATAAATTGTAATTGCTAGTTAATGTCTTTCAGGTTGCTCATTGGGATGTTTTAACATTCTCCCCATATTCTTATTTGTAAAGTTTCTATTTATAATAAGATATTCTAACATGATACAAAAAGCTTTCTAATAGCAGTAAGAACCAAACATTTACTTGGGTGGGGAATTGCTCTTGCTCCCATTTAAGTCTAATGCAAAATTTCAGATTATTTGATGAAACTAGGATCTGCTCCTTGATGCAGACTTGCACAAAGGGTTTTTGTTTATTACCATTTGGATTTTATGCATGTAAGTTTCCCTGAACTATGTCACATTGTACATACAGTTGTACTGGGTATTTTTAGGAGATTAATGGTAGGGTATTAGCCAATTAGGTGGTGCCAATCCTGCTGTCAGACTTCTATTTATCTTTTAATATCACATACCTTAATGTAAGCTCAGTTGATAATACTGATGTTGTTGAGACATGGACAAGTTAATGATGTGTAAATCTGCAGTTTGTGCTGAGATAGAAAAGTTTAATTTTTTGGAATGATACAGGGTCCAGTCCTTCAAAGGCTTATTTGTGGGAGTAATCACGCTGAAGTAAGAGGAGCTACTTACATGAATAAGGGCTACTCACATAAATAAAGATTTGAGTAGCTGAGTCTGTATGTCTTGTATACACTACAGATTTACAACTTATTAACCTGAGGCTCATTTTTTAAAATGTCAAATTGTTTACTGTTAAAACACTTATACAACTAACTGAAGACAGACAGTATATGCAATTCAGGACTTTGAGACAATTAATGTTGTGGATATTATCATTTATTATCCATCAGATACCAAAACTGCATTACTTGGACACCCAAAACTCTTACCAAAGTTAACTGAGCGCAATAGGAGTAAAAGGAAAGGAAAGCAAGGAAAACAGGATAAGGTCCTAGTTCTTATTCAGTTCCTTGTAAACTGAATGTTGGAAGAGTGCAAACAGTGAACATGAATATCTAGTGATTGGTGGTAGCAATCCAAATCTATAGTATTAAGGTTTTCCATCAAACTTTTTTTTATTTTTTTTTATTTTTAGAAAGGTGTCTAGCCCTTATGGTTATGAAGGAGACCTTCACTTGTAAGTCAACGCACAGCAGTTTCAGCGAGTCTCCATCTAGACAGACTGGAACAATAGCACCAAAAATACAAACTTTCTCTCTCTTCTCAAAATAATCTGTTTGTGACCATTAAGCAATCAGATTAATAACCACATACAAAATTACCCCAGTAAAATGAGTGAAGTGTATTGGTTAAAAATGTACAGCCTTGCTCTGAATCCCCACAACACACACAAACTTAGCCTGGGCTGGACCCATATGCAGAATTCACATTAGCATCTATGAGAATTCCACATGCTGAGCAAGGGCAATATATGGCCTTAAATTCAGACTAGTAGCATGGATTAGTGTTTCCACTTAGTGTTAACTGACCACTTCAACATGAATGGTCCCTTGAAATATGTGTTAAACATTCTGTTCCACCTTATATTTAGCTGTGACACTCTGAGGATATTTCCCAGACCTGAAGAGCTCTGTGTCAGCCTCTCTTTCTCTCACCAACAGAAGTTGGTCCAATAAAAGATATTAACTCACCCATCTTGTCTCTCTAATATTCTGGGACCAACATGGCTACAACACTGTATAGGTTCAAATGTGACATACAAGAGCTTTTATTTGCTCTCCAAAAATCTAACTTTACTAGTCTTTAGTTTTAAAGGGTAAACTCTGGGGGCACTAGGAGAAAACTGTGGAGGAGCCAGCCAGAAACTCCAGTCAGTAAGGGCAGAAGCAACCAAAGCAGGGATTTTTGGTCCTTTGGAGAACTTTATAGAGTTTTGACTGCTTTCTCTCTCCTGTGTTGATTGGCTGTTTGCTCCAACCTTCCTGCTCCCCCTCCTTCCTCAGTCTCTTCACCTCAGCTTCACTCCACACCTGTCCCATTACCACCTTCTTCCCTGCCCTGTCACCTCACTCTGTTCCTATTTAGCTTATCCCCTCTATGTACCCCCCCAAAAAAACATGACTTTTGTCTCCATCACATTGTTCATTCTGCTTGTATGTCAGAGCATCTTCCTCCAATCTTGTCTGTTTAGACTGTAAGCTCTTCATGGCAGGAACTGTCTACTGCTCTGTGTTTGTATGGTACCACATATAATAGGGGCTCACTCTTGGTTGGCCTTTATGCACGACCATAATAAACATGATTAATAATAAATATTTTAAAATTTTTGCCTTTTTTGAATTACAAAATTGTTTTATTAAGAAAGCTGACATGATTTTGTTTAAACACACATACACACTACTGCATATGCACAGTAACTTCTTGTCAACAAATTTCATGGTGAATTTTAGTAATGTGTCCTTTATGCTCAATTCAGAGGCGTCTCTAATTTATCACTTTACATTTTAACCCTTATATCGCAGCGGCTTGTCTTTATATTTGCCTGAACAGTACAATCTATGCCTGTGGCACTGTATAGTTACTCAAGAATCTGTGTGCACAGGAGCAAGTCTACTTTAAACAGAACAGATGCACATAATTTGTATATTTAAAAAATGGATACATGCATTTTTATGCGAGAGATCACAGAAATTCTCTTTAAAGTCAGAGTTGTGTCAGTGCTCAGAGTTTTATTGGGGGAGGGAAAAAAGTTTAAACTGTCTGCATGTAAACAATCAAACAAAAAGAAAAAAATGTCAGTTAGACTTTATGCTCTGTTCTTACAAAACTGCACAGACATCCGATCAAAGATACCATCTATAGGCCCAATTCTGCATTTCCAGTCATTTCAATTGGATTAATCAGGCAAATAAAAATGACAAGATTGAATCCTGCAGTTTTGGTTTCCTCTGGATTCCTGCAGATAGCTATATAGATCTTATTAACAGTAACAGGTCAACATGAGATTAGACCTCGATTTGTGCTGCAGAAATAGAGGCAGACAAGCTAGAGCATTGGTTTTCACTTTACATGATTTTGTTAGTTTGCCATAACCTGTTTTAAAAATTGCTACTTCTAATTTTGGATAAATGTAGAATATTTAATTTTACAGCTGATGTAAAGTTCGACCACTTTCATGGAAAGAAGAATTTGGACACGTAGCAAGAATTAGCTTTTCTGCTGGGGAAAATAAAAGGAGATATATAAAAGGGAGGGATGGAGACTTAATACCTCTCTGTGAAAGCTGTTCTGCAGAAGATATTCTCCATCTTTCTTGAAGATTTGGATTTCCTTTAGTGATTATTAATGTTTGCTGTGTCAAAAAGTGCAATTAGGATCTGTACAAACAGTGCATTTGGTATCAAACATTGATTGCACACCCTCCTAGGTTTAGACTCCAAGGATTAAGATAAAATAGACATTGTTTACATCTTCTTACTGGGATTTTCCGTTTTTTCTTCTGGGCAGAATGTCCAGTGTTTGAGAGGAAAACTCACATACATGTCCATTAATTTTGCCACAGCCATCCACCTTATCCACCCCCAAATCCTGTGCAATTCTCAACTACTTTGTAAACATGGACCAGCAATGAACATCAGAGCCTATTAAAGAACAATAATTTCAGGCTACTGAGAATAGTCATCTATTAATAGCAGCCAAATCCCTGCTAGAGCCTGTAGTGATAATACCCTGATACTTAGCACACAGTTAACCATTACAAAACCAGCCAAAAGTCATCCTATACTGATCTGTACCTTTCCCCCCTTTTAGAGCTTTAAAACAAACCAACCAAAACCACATACATCCAGATGCTGGAGGCATGATCAGATTGTATGCTATCCAACGATTTGTTTTTATATGCAAGATATTAATTGTCAGCTCTTCCAAGTGACCCATCTTGAAAGGAACCATACTGCATGAAATACTTGTGAGAGAGATTGAGAGAGGAAGTCTTGCAGGAACACTCAGCCAGCCTATGAGAGTTTTACCACACACACCGCCAAGACAATAGCGATAATGAGCACCGCGGAGAAAATGATCCCAGCTAGAACTTTGCTGATATCGCAAAAGGATTTGTTTTCCTCCACGGAGATCATGCCAATGGAGGAGGCGCCCACGCTAATGGTGGATTTGAGTTCAGCCCCAGGGTCCTGTTTAGCCTCTACTGTCCACTGGGGGACATTCACTTTCATCTCCATCTCGTACATCATCTCTCCTACTTGGTTGATCTCGTTCTCCAGGTCTTTCAAATCCACTACATCTATGTTGTGTTCAGCCTCGTATTTCATGTTCTGGACGCTCATAGCCCTGGCGGCCACCCCAGAAGTTCCCCCGCTCATGCCCGTCTGAATCAGGTGCTTTTTGGGCACGTTAAGGGGGAACTCCTGGCCCAGCTCCAGGGCTCTCCTCATGTCAATCTCCAGGATCTCCATGCAAGTGGAGAAGATCACCCAGAGCCTCTCGAATTCAGCCTTGTCCTCCTTACTCACCGTCTTGTCCTTCAGGACCGCGGTGAGCTTGTTCCTGTTAGCCACCGCCAGCTCCTGGGCTTTCTGCCGAGTTTTCTTCAGTTCCTCCCGCAGGTTCTGCGAGTCCGAGGTGCCCCCGATGGTCAGCACCATGTGCCGATAGCAGGCAGTCACCTTGCTGAGCGCATCGAGCAGCGCTTTGCATTCCTCCTTCACCATGGCTCAGGCAGGCTGCAGACTCCAACAGGCGGGCTGGGCTGCTAACTGGGTGAACTTGTGTCCCTGCTGGTCTACCTCCCGCGGCTCAGTTCAGATTACCCTCTGTCGGACCCAGGGAGCTGCCAGCGCCAGATGTCACCAACACGCATGGTAATAGCGGAGCTGGGATCCTGCATGCAAATACCTAGATCGAGTCCCTTCCGACCGCTCACACGGCTCCAGATCCTCCGACGGTCCATGCGAGCGGGAGAGGAGTTTGGGGAGCGAGTGGCATCGCTTTGCGCATAGTATTCAGCATCCGAGGGAGGGTTGCCCCAGTCCCTACTCCAGACACACCGAGATGGAGAACAGCTGTTGTTTCCTGCAGGAGACTCCAGTACAAGAAAATCAGATACCCGTTGTTTTTAAATGCACCAATCCGAATGGCCAGGAAGAAATGAATACCAGAGCTAAAAAACAAGGCAGCCTTTAATTAAAGCCCGAGTGCTGCCTCCATGTGTGCCAGGTGACCAGAGGCCGGTCTGCAGCGCCAGGGAACTCGCCTGCCCAATACCAACCCGGCGCCTCGGCTATTGACATTAAATACTGCACAGCTGGAGCACCTGGAGGAGTCACGTGGTTCCGAGCAGGAAGTAGCTCCGCGGTTTCTCTTTCCAGCGAAATACAGCCGCCGTGCTGCTCGGCGTGCCTAGGCTCCACCTTCGCAGGCTGCTGATTGAGTGGACGCTGCCTCAGTCGCGGGAGAAGCCGGGGCTCATTGGCTTGGCGTAGCTGGGCTGCTGTGGCGCACCGCCCGCCTTGGATCCTGGTAGGGCTTGGTTGAAATACACAGCAGTTAGGGGGGAACTGGACGGCTAGTGGTTCTCTTGTGTCTGGGGAGGAAGTGAGACAATGTTACCTTTGTAAGTAAGTAAATTTTCTGGTATCTGTTGACTCCCGATTCTCTAAATGAGGCTGCCAGGGCTGTGGGGACTTACACTCCCTCCAGGGGGGGAAAGAATGACTTTAGGGACTGCTGGGCAAGTGGGGCCCCTTCTCCTGGCCTTGTCAGCACTGACCGAGACGTTTCCTGTGGCAGAGAGTAGCACTTTCGGGGGCTGTAGCTGTCCTTGCGGTGCCCCCAGCTCCTCATTAATAGTGGGGGGGGAGAGTGACTGAAAACAGGGTTTACCGCTGTCACATGGCTTTCATTTTAAATTGTCTTCCTACCAAGGCCTGTGAACTCAAGCTTCGAAAACCACCTTCCATCCTCCTCTTCTACTCCAGCGTAAGAGATGGGATGGAGGGGGTTTTGGAAGCATATTTTGTTCCAGATCTGTGTCCTGGCAGTGCTGTTGCTTCGTGGGAGTTAAGTTACAGCGTAATGCAGGCGTGTGGGGCTTGTACACAGAGCTTCGGATGGCTTCCTTTTTATACGCTTCAAGGGAGACACCGTTGCAATTTAAAGAGTGTGTGTGTTTTCAGAGAGTGAACGTGTTTCAGAAGGGAAGTATGCAAATGCTTTTTCCACTCTCAACACCGTGCAGGACTCTGGATGGGATTGTTCACCTTCTGAAATGTTGACACAGCAACTCTGTTGTCGATATCCGATCCAAACTGTAGGTTTCTGTCCAAACATGTGACTTATTAGCCCTCAGGAAGTCTCCATTCTGATTGTCCCTTGGGGTGGGGAAAGAGCTCCAAAGATATTTTTGAATTAATTGGGGGATGGGAAATTACATTATGTTGGGATTAAACTGCATGCAGTATAAACATGGGGTTAAGGGTCTTTGAGTTAAACACAGGATTATTTTTTTTCTTTTTTGAGGTCCCACTTGCATTAGATGCTGAAGTTAATAGAGCTGTTACTGATTATTTCTCAGACAGTACAAACTTCTTTTTCTTTCTTTCATGAGTAAATACTGTTTCTATCAGGCTAGGAGAACTGATACTTTTCTGCATCTTTAATCATAATACTATCTTAGACTATTTCTGTTAATAATGCAAAATTGAATTTAGCATGCTAGCATATGTACAGAAGCTTAATCTAACTTGTTGGTTAGTAGTATCAACACATTTTGCTTCCTTCCAAAGCTTCTAATACGGTACATAAACTAAAAGGTTGTGTTTCTCTCTTTGAGATCACTTAAGTGAGTATGAACTGTTTAGGAAGCTTTGTAGCAAGTGTAGCTTTTGAGCCAAGAAGATTTACTTGCACCTGGCCTTTTTATAATTGTACATGCAAATTAAGAGGAAGTTAATCTGACAAAACTTGAACACTTGTTATAAATTAGTAAAATAATATTGTGAATTGAATGCTTTGCAGATATATTGTAGAAATGCTAATGTAACAGTTGTTAGTGGTGAGTAGTGAATATTTCATACTGTGCTGACTATATTATAATTTAAAAATTTTTTGGTAGCTATATACTTTGGTAATGGGTGCTCCAGACTTGCTTAAATGATAATAGTGAGTACTGACCACTACACTGTACAGTAATTTATGCTATTTTGCAACATACAGTACATATTTATCAAAGAGGAGTGCCAGAAAACTTAATTGCCACAGTCTCCACACCTCATTCACCCCTGGCTCAAGGAACAGCCAGATGGCTTGCTGAATTAAGTGACTTGAAATAGATACATTCTCATATTCCCATAAAGAATGAAAAAAAGAGCAAATGTAACATATGCCATCATAGTGGAACAAACAAATACCATATGTTATAAGTGGTATCTAGCTTCAGAAACTTTCTTGAAATTTGTCATGGAAGCCCCAAGATCAATTAAGTAGCTCTATCAGTTTGAAGGCAATATTAATCTAGGAAGATTGAGCCAAAGAATGTGGGATCTTGCATGGGAATGCAATGACACTAAGTGAACTTGAACTACATGTAAGCAAAGATTTGTAATTGCATAATGGGCCTAGTCAGGTGGAAAAAGGATAAGCCCTAGCTCTGGATATAAAGTCTTATGTGACTTGATGATGATAAGCTTATGACTATCCAAATTATGCATCTGTTCATACTTTGAAAGGGTTTACATGCAAAAGTCTGATGCATTTCAGTAATATGTTACTACTTATTTCAGTGCATCGGACCTTTACATTAGAAAACTTGCCTGAAACTAGATGGGAGACTAACTGGTTGAAGGAATACCTTTTGTCAGGAGGAAACATAATGTTTCAGCTTCTAATTATTTACACCTGGAGGCAGCAATAGATAATACCTGTAGTCAGATACTTCTTGACAACAGATCTTTACATTTATTATTACATGGAAGAATAAGAACAGTGTTCTCTAGAATAGCTCCTTAAGTTGATGACTGTGTTTTCCAATACCAAATCCCAGACGGTACCTCTACTGCAGATTCAGCCATAGCTTTGTTATAGGAATTGTCAAATGACAGGTAGAAAATGCTTAAAATCCAAAGACAAAGATTGATACTTTTTTTAGGGTAGAGTACTCTTGCAAATGTGTTTGGAAAATGTAGCTCTTGAAAGACATTATAGAGAATTACTTGCTAAATCTCATACCCTTTTAATTTACCAATGGGCTCCCCTGTCCTATGATAACTAAATTATCTTATTGAATCATTGAAAACCCTTGTTAATTCTGTTTCATGTGCTGTAGATTAACAAACCTTGGCTCAGATGTACTAACATTTGGAGTAAACTCAAAAGTTAAGTACCATCATCTAAGAAAGTTCTGCCTGTAGTTTGGGACAATATACATTTTTTTTCCCCCACCTTTCCCCCTCCCCCCCCGAAGGAGGGATTGTGTGTTTGTTTTTCATCTAGATATCTCAATCAAGAGAGCTTGAAAACTTTGAAAATCAAAAAGCCTCAGCCATTATTCAGGCCTGTGCTAATGTTAGACCAGTTTCCTTCAAATAACAAGCAAGAACATACTTTGATTAGTTCTCCACGTGTCTCAGCTGTAGCTACTGTGCAAGTGTTTTGAAGAGTGGCTTGAAAATGTTCTTGGATTTTGTTTATCACAAAGCAAAGTAGCAGCCAAGTCTGGTGCTGGTGTGTCTGTAGCTACTGCAGTGACAAGTGTACAGGTTGGTGATTCTGGTGCACGGTATTACGTAGCTTTAAAACGCCAGTGTTGGCTGAAATGTCACTAAATGTTTTAGTAAGTAAAAATTAACTATGGTGAAACTGTTTGTCTTAGTACAAAAGATGGTAGAAACACTGGTATTGAAGTGCAGTACTGCTCTGATAAGTGACTCTAAAAAGTTGTCATAGGACTCCATGATTACCATGCCTTAGTGAACTCAAATGAAAACTTTTAAAAACTTTGCCTTTAATGAGAGAAAATACCTTTCCCAGTTCCTGGTTTAAAAAAACTGCACAGGCAGTCAGTCCATTCCACCCGTTTCTTCCACGCTACATTTTATGTACTGAATTCCAGACAGACACACCATGTGGAGATCAAGAGATTTGAATGTAACAAATATTTCAATGTACTAACTCACCCTTTTCCTTTACTATTTTCTTTTCTTTAAAATCAAATACTAGAACATCACCTAATAGCTGAGGACTCCAACCCACAAAAACTGGGCTAAAGGGAGGAAGGAGGTAATGAGGGGGAAGGAAATTCAGAATTGTGGCTCCCAGAGCAACTGTCACTTGGCCATATTGCAAGTATTTAACCCCGTGTGCAGCTATATAATACTATTCAAGCCCAAGGGGACTGAGTTACAATTGAGGAAACTGTTAATGTGCTAAGATAGTCAAAGTTTAAATTCTCAACCATGATGATGTTGTTTGGGGGTGTCAAGCAGAGAGGATAAATTATATTCTGAAGTCCAAGGTATGTTGTGGGCTTTGTACTTCTTTATTAAGGCATGGTATATATTTGTTATCTTAATTACAGAAGTGTTTTAATCGGTTTTTATTTTTGAATGTGGATTTGTTCTTCTGTATCATTTCATTTTGTTGGCGCTCTAGATCACACTGAACCATGCTCAGTAGTCTGCTTGTCCTATGGCTGCTGCCACTAAGCGGTTTAGAGCTAGTTATTTGTGATGTGTAATCTCATGTGTTGGGAACTGAAGCAAGATCACTACACTAAACTCTCTTCCTGTGACCATCTGTCAAATCAAAATTATTTTAAATCACTCTAGTCTGTCTTGGATTTGTATTATGTTCTTTTTAGGTCCAGGCAGTGGATTACAAACAGCACATTTAGCTAAGCTATCTATATTCATAAATTAAATTCAGTATTTTGCCCATGAGTTGGGATATGATGGTTACAGATGGCGTGGTTTCTCACGCGCACCTCTCTTGTGTTTCTGATCAGCTTTATCACACGGTTAAAGGGACAACTAAAGCTTTTTTCAGTCTTCCCTTCCAGATGGAAAGAAATCTTGGAATTATGTTCCATGGATATATGGCAGAAAGAAAGATGAACTTTTTTTGGTCATCTTTCTGAAAAAATAACTAAGTAAAAACTGTGACCGGCTTAAGGACACTTTGTGTCCCCAGTCATTATTTTCTCTTTCCCAGTCTTTGTGGTATAGGAAACTTAAACCCTGCATTCTAGCTTCTTGACTTAACATATTAATGCTCTTGGAGCTTTTCGGTAGCTTGTGAAATATCATTTAGCAATAGCTTATGACTAAACAGTTCAACTATTTATGAATAAGAATAGTTCCTGGCAAGCCAAATGTTAAAATAGAGTACGTTGGGAAATACAAGATCTCAGAACATAGACACAAATTAGTTTCCTGCTGAGATCCGTGTAACTTTTTTAGTTTGACTGTTTAGACAAGAAACTGTTTTTATATGAGAACTAAAATCAGGATAACTTTTTTAGTTTTGCATGCATCTTAATGTTGCTGCTGCTGGGATAAATTTAAATCTGACACTCTGGATTGAGCCATATATGTGAATCTCTTCTCCTTTAATCCTGTCCATG